CTCAAACGAGGGGATCAAAGAATGATGGAAACTTGCGTTACAGCGGCAGAATAAAATCAAGTCCACCTTCGACCACAGGGCAGCCTCTTTCCTGTGGAGTTCTCTTTTCCTCATTTTACTTTGAATCTATTTTTTCTTTTGGGTTAATGATATGAAAATTTAATTAAAAATAAACATCATTTGTAATTCAGACATTACATTCTTTGATTGATTTAAGTTCATTCGATGAACCAGGCAAAAGTAATGTAGATATGCTGAATAAAATTATGCAGGAAGTTGATACTAATAAGATCAATGGCCTTGATTGAAAATCCTGTCAACTTTGTTCATTCTTTTCGCTATTTTCCTTTGTTTATGAGTATTGAGTGCTTAAGTTAAGAGCTTTACTGATCGGGGTTTTCTTCTTCTCACAAGCTTTGATTTGACGAGAAGGTCATTTTGTTCGGTTTCTTGGTTTTAGGGTTCCCAATTAAGATGTTCTATCTCAATATATTGTTGCGTGCTTGTCCATTAGGTTTGTCTTATTAATACCTCTTTTTTTGATAGGTTGGCGAAGGAGTTGAGTGAGCTTTAACTAAGCAGGGTCCTGTGAGTTTAAACTTCTTATTTCTTGAACATGGAAGCATATTCCTGTAGGCTGCTTGGATTTATCAAGAAGGTTCGAGGCTAGGGTTTTGAGGTTGATCTATTCAAGACACTCTATCCAGATGACTATTTTTTTGTGTGGCTTCTTGGATTTAGCAAGAAGAAGGTCCGAGGTTAGTGTTTCGAGGTTGATATTCAAGACCCTCTATCAGAAGATATGTCAAATTAGAAATGTGATACAATGAGATTTGCTATATTTTTTATCAAAGTATTTAGGCTTTTTTTTTTTTTTTTTATTTGTGTTTGGAACATTTTGAGATAGTTCATTTATTTATGTTTCTTAGTTAGCAAAAATACTATTATTGTTGTTGTTGTTTTTTTTTTTAATTTATCATGTGATGAAAGATTTGGCACTGTATTTTCAATTTCATGATATAATTGTTTCAAGTGACGATAGATTTTGTCACTGTACTATATATTTCATGAAAAACAAACTTATCACTAAATATCTGCAATTAATGACAATTATTATACTTATAATATTGATAAATATTAAATTGTCAATGAAAATAATTTTTTATGACAACATGTAATTGTGATGTATTTGTTTGGATTGTCACCATACAAATTTTAAAATGACGATAAATTTTGTCACTAAATATTTAACTTTTTCATGACAACTTATGTTGTAATTATATCTCAAGCTTTTGATGACAATATTTTTCTTCGTAATCATAGAACTAATAATTTATTGACAAAAGAATTCGTCGTTTTTGTATGTTTTTTGAGACAATGAATATTTCGTCATTACTTCTATATTTTTTGTGATGTTTTTGTTATCGTCATATTTAAAATTTCTTTATGTGATGAATAATATTTCGTAATTATAAGATAACTCTTTCATGACGAATTATATGAAATATGACGATTTTAATAACAAAAACGCCACAAAGATATTCGTCACTGAAATTTTATAAATTCGATAAAATAATAAAACTCGTCATAAAAAAAATAATATTTAGATGACAAAGTTAAGTTTTCGTCATTCAAAACTTGTCTTTCTATGACAAAATAATCATTTACATGACAAAATTCTCATAATAAACATGACGAAAATATTGTCACGAAAAATGACTAAATAACATGACGAAACTTATAAACATCATTAAAAGTGAAATATTTGGTGAAAAAATCAAAATTCATCACTTACACCTAATATGACGCGGCTACGGTGACGATCTCCGTGACGATAAAATTTCGTCATAAATGTTCTGATGTGACGAAAAACAAGTTTTACATGACAAATTTTATCGTCATATTTCCCAAAATTTCTTGTAGTGTACCTAAATATTCATAATAAATTAACTAAATATGCATCATAAATTACCTATATAAAATGAACATTTTTATTGCATAATTTTCGCTGCATATTTAGTTCATTCATGATGCATATTTAGTTCATAACATATGCATATTTAGTTAATAACAGGTGCATACTTAGTAGATATTATTGGTGCATATTTAGTTCATAAGGACTGCATGTGCAATTCATATCCCATGCATATTTAGTTCATATTGAATGCATGGTACTGGATGCATATTTACTTCATACATATTGCAAACCAAGGACAACATGTCAACGCCGGAAGTCAACGATTTTCGCCGGAAGTCAGCGGTCAACGCCGGAAGTCAACGGTCAACGCCAGAGTCAATTAATAATTATTTTATTATTTAATTAATATATATTTTAAGGAGTGTACTCATTTTAAGGAGTGGACTCATTTTAAGAAGTAGACTCATTGGATCCTCCCCCTATATATATATATATATATATTATCTCAAAAAAATCTAGATAACTACTATTGTAATTGATTAAGAGCTCTTATGTTTTGTTTTAGGAATAACTAGTTTTCGAAAACAAAAACACGTTGTGACATTAGTAGCCGAATATGTTTAGTTACTTCAATATATTTTAAAAAAAATTCTAGAAAGATTTTTTACCAAAAAAAAAAAGGAAACGAAAGAAAAAAGAAAGAACAAGACGACGACCCAGAACATGTATTTCAAATTACATAATAAAAGCTATTCATATATGGTTTTGAGGTGAAATGTTTTATGCCATTGTAGGTAGTTATACATATCATTTTTTTTTTCAAAACGTTCTTCAAGATATTATAAAAATGCGCATAAATGTGCAAAGGAACA